TCCCTTCTCCTCCATTCTTCTTTTGGGATCATGGGCACACATGCACACATGCCCAGAGTGAGTTTAAGCCACCGGGTCCGGGACTCGAACTTCGGTCGACTATGTGGGAGTCCAGCGGCATAGCCATTATGCCAACTACAGGTGTCATGGAATAGTTTAATTTTTTAAATCTAGTGTTACGCTTTGTAATAGATGGAACAGTTTGTTTAATTTTTTTAAATCTAGGGTTATGAGGATTTACATAGTAGCACACTCCCAAACTTGTGTCGAAATGAAAAGAACAAAAACAACGACAACAACAAAAAGTAATTCTGCTTAATCTAGTTTCTCACCTTTGGCACTATCAAATTATCAGCGCTAGATAATTCTTTATTGTGGAAGGTTGTCTTGTGCATTGTAGAACATTTAGTAACATCCTTGGTTTCTATCCACTAAGTGTCAGAAGCACACTCTGCCCTTAGGACAAGCAAAAGTATCTCCAGACATTGCAACATGCCCCCTGCTGGGTGGGACAGGAGCACAAGATTGTGCCTGAATAAGAGCCATTGGCTTAAAAGGAAAAGAAAGGAGGCATTGCATGGATGTGCTGTAACATGTTTAACCATCTCCTAATGACAGTCATTTTGTCAAAGATATTTATTTTTCTAGTATTTTGATGTTGTAAATAAAGCTGCATTGAACATATTTTCTTTGCATATTTGAATATACTATGTAAATTTCTAAAAGTGAAATTACTTGTTTATAGGATTTGTGTGTTTAAGAGTGTGATATTGCAAAAATGACCCCCAAAGAGACTAAACAAATACCTTTACTGATTCATTAAAAACATTCTTTTTTGAGGCCAACCTCCATGACCTGGTGATTAAGGGACTAACTGTGCATTTTGAATTCTGAACCTGGAGGCTTGAGAAACACAACAGGTGCTTATGTGTGGGGGCAAAATCCTGAAAGGAGGAAAAGATGGAAGAGAAGGGATTGTGGCATGACCATTTCCCATAGGGAGTGCTTTCTATCTCTTCTCCCACCCCCTACAGTGAGCACCCTCTGGTGAAATTAGAAGGAAAATTCTTTTTTGAGTCATCTCAATTTTCAAACTTAAATGATGAAAATATGGGTTTATATGGTAATATGCATCTTTCCAGTTCACACTAAACACACTATATATTAAAATGTAAAAATCCTTGGGACCAGCAGTTAGCGTAATGGCTATGTGGCTGGACTCTCACATAGTTGACTGTGGTTCGAGTCCCAGACCCGGCAGCTTAAACTCACGCCAGGGGCGTGTGTGTGCATGCCCAAGATCCTGAGAGGAGAATGGAGGAGAGGGGATTGTGGCGTGGTCATCCCCCCTGGGGGGTGATTTCTTGCTTTCTGTCTCTCTGTCTCTCTCTGTCTGTCTGGCAAATGCACGCACCCTATAGCCAAAAAAATAAAAACAAACAAACAAACAAACAAACAAACCCTCTCAAAAAAAAAAAAAGGAAAAATCTTTTATGCACAATCAAAAATCATCTTTTATTGCCAAATATTAGGAACCACTTCATTTTAAAGATCTGGCAACTGACTAGAAAAAGCTCTTTCAAGTCTGATCTGTGGAATTTATATTATTAAAAACCACTTATTTTGTTCAAGTTATACATCTCCAATTCATCCATGTGAGTATTGTGAAAGAGTTTGTCAAATGCTTTGTCCAAACCAGAGCACTTCATGTCTGCGATTTATCCTGATCTGGATGATGGGTCTGGTAAACTGTGAGCGTCACTCTGCTGCAGGAATTCCCCCAGTTACCACTCCTAGCGCTTTGTGAGAACAGGATAAGCACCAGGAGGGGTATTTTTTAAGTATCTGGGTAGGTGTGTAAAAATAAAAAGAAAAAGCAATTTTTTTTTTTTTTAACAGCAAGAACTCAGGGAAAAGGATTGAGAACAAACAGAGCGACACGACACGCTGGTTTTCAGCACAGCGCTCATCCAGCGTTTTACTATTCATCATTTGCTGTGCATAGTCACAGTCGCTAGCTCTTTGGCACGGTCATCCTTGAATTGAGCAGAGGTCATTCCTGGGCACCCATTGTTATATCCTGCCAATCCCAGCATCATCGATCATTTAACAGGTATGGAGGGATCAGGTCTGAGTTCTAACCATGCCCACTACAGCAGAATAGGAGTCCAGTTGAGGGACAAATTTGGTTTCTGTTGTGGGAATAGCATTAGCAGCTAGTGCCCCTGGCAGGAGTCTAGGCAGAAGGGTGCGTACCTAGTGGGAAATCTCAGTGATACGAAATCTTGGGGAACAGGGAGAGGCTTAGTAGTAGAGAGAAGCAGGCATTCCATATCAAGGAATCATTCCATATCTCTTAAAAGAGAGCCAGTGAGATCTGAGACCATAAAGTAGAGAGAGCCTATCAAGTGCAAGGCCCTTGGAACCAACTAGGGCTATGGCAGTTTATAGAAGGGAAGAGAAGCTAAAGAAGAGACCCAGAAACAAGAATTAGGACACATGGGTTAGGAATTGGGAAGAAAGTCAGAGCATGGTCATTAGCATTAGAAAGTACACAGGATTAATCCAATCCATGGTACAGTTGTGGCCAAGCCCGATTCAGTGGTTTTAGGAGAGACTAGTTACCTCCTGACTCAGACTAGTACTAGTCCAAGGGATGGAGGGTAGCATTGAGCTTCCAGGTGACACTCAAGTGCCAACCCCAGTGATGGTACAGAGCAGGGAATGGATCTCAAGTGTGCTTAGAGACAAAACTCATGTTGTTCTCACCGAACCTATTACTCTACTTCTCCAAGAAAGAGACATAGGCACTAGCTATGGTGACATGATAGCTGTTCACTGACCATAAGCTTCTTGAAAACAGAAACAGTGTCTTGATCCTCACTGTACCTAGCATGCCCAGCAGGGCTTGGCACATAATCAGTGAATACCTGTTGAATCCCTAAAGGCAAAGAGGAATGAACCAATGGAGACATGGTCTTTGTTGGGTGGAGCATTCTATCAGGCTTTCCCAAAGTTCCATGAAATACTCCACCCTAAAAATTCTATACCACTTATTGTTTTTATTTTATGATATCTAGGCAAACTGCTTATTTGAACAACAACAACAACAAGAATCTTTCTTGGGGACTAGATGGTGGTGCAGCAGTGAGAATGTGATGTTTTATGAGGCAACCCCAGAAGGGAAGGTTCATGGCTCAAGTCCACAGACCTCCCCAAGCACACTGGGCATGCACTTCTTGTGATTTTGGGGGCTGACTGGAAGCTGAGGGTGGATTGCACTTTCAAGACCTTTTGGAGGTGTCCTTTATTTAACTTAAATTTCAAAGTCTTTTATGCACAACCCAAAATAATCTTTTATACCAAATATTAGGAATACTAGGAACCCCCTTCAGAGAGCTCTCTCTCTCTCTGTCTCTTTTTTATTCATGGAGGAAATAAATAAATGCATGACTTTCCTGATTTGTTCATACCAGAAATGAAGGATTGAAGTTATGTAAATGTGGCCACTAGTCATTGTTACTTCCCGGTCATGTGTTATATTGACACTGGGATAGTACATGTGTTCGTACGTGTAGATTAGGTGAGAAGCGTCAGTCTGTGAGAGGACAGTCATATGGTCTGGGTCTCTTTGCAGAGAAGGAAACTGATAAATCATACAAGCACTCTGCTTACGGGTCTGTTTTGTTTATCCCACATACTGTCATTGTATCTTTAAAAAACTTGCTCTCAGGCACCCCAAATTATATTCATCGTGTTCCTGAGTTTATCGACACATTCTCACCATTGGCGCAGATACTGGCTCAATATTGTTGACTTAAGAGAATTCAGGGTTTTGTCTTCTCGAAATTGAAGCCTATTTCCCTGCAGGGCAACCATTAGTGGCAATTCAAAGTGCTGTCCTGGTTCGTGCCAATCTCTCTTGTTTCTTGATTAAGAAAGAGGCTCGAGTCAGTTGATGTGGATCTTTGGGCTTGAATTCCTATTCTTCCAGTAGAGTGGAGAGGGAGCTATTCTATCGTGTCTACTTCACCCATTTATATTACCTACCTGGCAAGAGTCAGTGTTTGAGTTTGAGAACCTTCTCTGCCGGTCAACCTTTTGGCATTCCTAATAACAGCTTTATTCATTGAAAATTTATTATATGTAAAACACTGAACTAATGGTTTTTCATACATTATCTCTTTAATTTGTATAAAACTCCATGATGTGGGGGACCAGCAGTTAGCGTAATGGCTATGTCGCTGGACTCCCACGTAGTTGACCGTGGTTCAAGTCCCGGACCCGGTGGCTTAAATTCACGCCGGGCACGTGTGCGTGCATGACCAAGATCCCGAGAGGAGAATGGAGGAGAAGGGATTGCGGCATGGCCATGCCCCCTGGGGTGTGATTTCTTGCTTTCTGTCTCTCTGTCTCTCTCTGTCTGTCTGGCGAACACATGCGCCCTATAGTAAAAAACCTTTCAAAAAACAAACAAACAAACAAAAAGCTCCATGATGTAAGTATGAGAGCTATTGTCCCCATTTACAAGTGTGGAAACTGAGGCCCACAGAGGCTAAGTGGCTTGTCTAAGATTATAGAAGTTCCAAGTAGAGACAGTGAGATTCAAACCTTGAATTCAAATCTTGGACTCACAGCCTGAGTCCAAAACTGGGACTTTGAAGCTTTACATTACACTGCATACCTGACCAATAGTCTTATGGGGTAGAATCACTGCTCCCATACTTCTCCCCCCCCGCCCCTCCCCCCCGTTCAGTACTTGTGGAGCTGGATACCAGGAAGAGGGGCTGAACACCAGATAGGGCCTGTGGAGGCCACTTACTCTCTGCCTGTGCCATCTAGAGCTGCTGCTTTGTTGGCTCTGAGAGCTACAGTTGTCTGGAGAGGGAGGACAGGTGCTCTGAGGTCACCATGGCCCTCATAAATCACGGATCCTGGCACCAAGTTTGTGTGTGTATGTGGAGCTGGGCTGTCCCAGTATTGCACGTGGGGAAGCTCCTATAAAGTGGCTTGAGCTCTGAACTTGCAGTTGTCAGAGAGTTGCAATGGGGAAGCTGTTACTGTGGCTTGGTGAGTGTGGCAGGTCCCAGCAGTAACTCAGTCTAGGAAGTACCAGGTCCCTCATTCAGTGGCTGAGAGAGCAGCTCAGGACTCAGAGGGCCTGGGATAGGAGAGAGGGTATTGGCTATAGAGAAGGGTTGGAGAGACCCAGGAGGGAATGACAAGAGTAGCAGTTCTCAAACCTGGCTGCATATTAGAAATTTGTGTCTGGGTTTCACCTTAAACCAGTTAAATCAGACTCTCTGGGGAAGGAGTCAGGGTATCAGTACTTTTTAAGGTGCAGAAGGGGTTGAGAATCACTGACCGAGAGCTTTTTCTGGGACTTCTAAAAGTCATCATTGTCCTTGTGCAACGCCTATGTGTATTGACATGGTGTTTATTAGGGAGAAAAGAATTTAGGTAGGTCTGACTCCACTGGCTCAGTTTTAGAGCACCTCCATTTGTGTGTCTGCATCTGGGTATGGTGCCGAGGTGGTGGGTGCACTTGTTACTGAGGGGTGTGCCAGACAGGCTACTTGGCCTCTGTGTAATTCTGTGTGTGATGCCTTCCTTTGTTTTCCGCAGGGCTGGTTCTTGCGCTGAAACACCATGATGGTAAGGCCTTCCAGAGTCAGGGAGATTCTCTGGGAGAAGTTCTCCATGTTGAGTGTCCTCTGCAGCCCTGTTCTGCCTCAGCTCCTCTACTGGGAGGAGCAGAGGATTTTGGTCATCTGCTATTTGTCACTCTCTATATGCCGGTACTCAGACTTGCAGAACTCTTCTGACCAGGGTTTTGTAAGGTGTTCTTATGCTGGGCCTCAGCACTGTGGGGGACATGTTACAGTGTGGCTGGCCCCTGGGCTGTGCTACGCTGCTCTTAGGAGCTGGGTTCCCTCCCTAGGTGTCTGTCAACTAATGTGTGCTCTCCCTTGCCAGGTACTGCCCACAAACTGGTGTGTTATTTCACTACCTGGGCACAGAGTCGGCCAGGTCCCGCCTGGCTGGCCCCTGGGCTGTGCTACGCTGCTCTTAGGAGCTGGGTTCCCTCCCTAGGTGTCTGTCAACTAATGTGTGCTCTCCCTTGCCAGGTACTGCCCACAAACTGGTGTGTTATTTCACTACCTGGGCACAGGGCCGCCCGGCCCCCGCCTCGATCTCACCCCATGACCTGGACCCCTTTCTCTGCACCCACTTGATATTTGCCTTTGCCTCAATGGACAATAATCAGATTGTTGCCAAGGATCCCCAGGATGAGAAAGTTCTCTACCCAAGGTTCAACAAACTCAAGGACAGGTGTGTTCATATGGGTTGTGGGGTCGTATTTTTAAATTTTGCAGGTATAAGAGAATTAAGCCTGTTTCTCCTGTTACTCTTCAATTTTCCTCTGATCATTCTGTTTCTAACCTCCTCTCAAAAGGTGCTTTGGAGCATCCAAGTTCAGAACTCTGTCAAAACCACCTTGAGCCCGATTTTGCCTCCTCGGCTTTGTAGTTGCTGTTGCCTCTGTTGGGAAAGTCCTTTCTTTCTTTGCCTGATAAACCCCAACTCACCCATGAGCCCAGTTGTGATGATTTCAGGTATTAATGCTGTTAATGTGCTTCAAAGACGGCCTGCATTCACAAACGCTCAGTGAATGCCAATGTCCTTGTCACCGTCACCTGCAGCCCCCAAGCTGTGAGCGCCTCAAGGAAAAGAGCAATGTCTCCTATAGATTCGTGTACCCGTAGGCTAGGTCAGTGCCTGGTATTGAGTTGGTACACAATAAACTCTCCCTTCAGTGTTGCTGTTTTAGAAACTCTGCAGTTCTTTCCCTGCCCTAGGAGAGTTTTGTCACTGTGTTAATGATTATAGTACAAGCAGAGTGGAAATTCCATGCTGCTAGATTACCAGCTCCCCAAGAGTGGGAAGCTTGTCTTTGTTGCTCACTGTTGTGTCTTAAGCACCTAAAACTATAGATGGCATGTCGTCATTACTTGACAACAACTGAGTCAGCAAATGACTGAAGAGAAAGAGTAGGTCACCAGACTGTTTTCTTTTTTGAAATATGGAGATTTGGTGGACTTTGCACAGCATTGGAATTGCGGGCTGTGATGACCCTTTGTTTGATATTCTCCTCTCCTTTCCTTTCTCCCCCATCCTGGGCTCTTCTCTTTCCTTCCTTCCACCTGCTGTCTACCTTTTCCGTCCCCTGCCTCCTGCCCCCTGATTTCCTGTTGTTTCTCCAATGAGCAAGGCATAAGGGATGGTGACTGCAGCGGCCTGCTGGAGTGAGGACCCAGCTTACTGGCTCTCTTCCACCTCATAGGAACAAGGAGCTGAAAACGTTGCTGTCCATTGGAGGGTGGAACTTTGGCACATCAAGGTGAGGATTTCCTGTCACATCTTCTCTTTCGGGTGGTGGGGAAGGCAGGCAGGAGGGTGAAGCAGCCTGTCTAGACATGGGGGCAGAGTAGAGAAGTCGGTGTGGCTAAGCAGATAGCAAAGCTAGAGCAGACCCTCCACCCCCACATCTTGATCTGGCCCTGGATCCTTGATCTCCTCACCATGGGGCATCAGGGGCCACAAGAAGTTCTAGCAGGTGTGAGAAAGGGGTGGAGAAATGAGAGACGGAGTTGGACATTCACAATGGTCCCTCCAACTATTCATAAAGGCAGGAATTCTGTCTCTGAGGGGAGGAGTCTTGCACAGATCAAGAAGAATAACCCCCAAACCTTTGTTTCCTCTCTTTGTGAATGGAGGCAGTGACATCAGCCTTCAGTGCTGTACTGGAGGGAAAGGAGGTGATAAAATATTAAGCTCACTGTATTGGTACACGCTCGTTACGCCGTGGCTGCTCTGGCTAGCACTCACCTCTGCAAAGCAACGTGGACACGAAAAGCTGCCTTCATATTTTCTGAAGAAATCCTTCTCCTTCCTGGGCTGAGGCCTGGGGCAGAGACCATGCGTGACAATCCCAGGTTTCACCTCCCTACTCCTTGCATACTCGCTGTGAGCCAGATACAGGCTAGGGCTGCACACACACTTTCTTAGGAATGACTGGAAGAAGCTCACAAAGCAGTGTTTGTGTTCCAAACTGGTAACAAAAAGAAAAGAAGAGTCATAGATATTAAGGAGAGTGTCAAATTTCCCCCAGGTATCCCTCAGAAGTCACCCAGTTAGAAGGTTTCAAACAGACATTGGAACCCAGGTCTATCTATCTCTAAATCTGGTTAACTTTTCTTTTCTAAAAATATTTTCCTATAAGGTATGTCTGCTCCTAGAGACAGAGAGACAGAGAGACAGAGAGAGGGAAAGTGAGAAATCATTCCTCAAGGGGGCTGGCTATGCCATAATCCCTTCTCCATTCTGCTGTCAGGATTTTGGGCATGCATGTACACACCTAGTGTGATTTTCAAGTCCACGTCTGGGACTCGAACTGTGAGATTGATCATATGGGATTTAGCACCCTCACCTCCATGAAACCTACTGCCCCAATATGGTTAATTTTCTAATCATGGCCTACCGGACTAATTTAAAATGCTTAAAATCCAGCTTGAATGATTTAGAATTTTTCCAAAAGCGCCTTTGACCATGGAAGAGAAAACAAACTAAAATATGAAAAAAGTCAAAGATGCAAATGAACAAAAGAGTAGAAGGACAGGGACTTCTTATAGCATGGGCTTCCTGTGCCGAGTTATGCAGCCCAGGCCCAGATTAGCTCAGAGATCTCTCTACAAGGGCTGGCCCTTGGTTCCTGTTCCCTCCTCTAAACCAGCCGGGAAAGCACGTCAGCACTAGGTTAGGTCGTGGGACTTAGGGAAGAGCTGAGGGGGCAGCCAGTGCTTGCCTTGCCAGTGGTGGGCTACCACGTTGTGCTGGGTAGAGCTTGACTGAGCAAGTTCTTCTGCCCCAGGTTGTGTGCTTTGTTTTGTGCCCACTGTTCCTTGTGCCATCTGGCTAGAGGAATGGCATGGTTTTCAACTCTCTCTGCAGCCTGAGTTCCTCATTCCTGGGTACTTAGTCCCTGGGGCTGGATGGAAATGGAAAAAAATGTGAGAGCTTCAAAGACTTGCCTGCCTTTCCTCTAGCCACGTCTGCTGTGACTTCCATAAAGCATGGCTCTTGCAAGGAGCTTCATGGGAGATTGCAATTCTGTGATCCCATCTTTGGACTCACCCCTGTCTCCCTGCAGGTTCACCACTATGCTGTCCACATTTGCCAACCGTGAGAAGTTTATTGATTCGGTTATATCCCTCCTGAGGACACATGGCTTTGATGGCCTTGACCTTTTCTTCTTGTACCCAGGACTAAGAGGCAGCCCCATACGTGACCGGTGGACTTTTCTCTTCTTAATTGAAGTAAGGATAGTCTGGGAGCTCTAGAACCTGAAATGATTCTCCCATCATCTGATATAGCAAGAGGAGGAGGAGCGTAAGGCTAGGGTGGGAGCAGGAGACAGATAAAATGTTCTTTCACTGCCATCCCTCCGGAGGTGCTGGGCAAAAGTGTTGCTGAGTGGCTGCCCCAGGGTTGCTCTTTTCTCTGCACCTGGGTTTTGCTATGGCTCTCTAGCATAAGTGATACAATCCCTGTCCCTCAGGGAGTGCCAGTGTGAATTCTGAGCTCCTGCACCTGCTTGTGACTCCTCTATTAAATAGCTTGCCACATTTGCCCAAGTCTGCCTTTCTCGTGAGCCTGTGAGCAGAGCCTATATCTGACTCACCTTCGTGTCTCCAGATCTGGCTCAAGGGCTCATTATACATTTCTGGGAAGATACTTTCTTTCTCTCTAGTTCTCTGATTGGTCTAGTTTTCTGTGCTTCTCTTTCTTCCTAGGAGCTCCTGATAGCCTTCCAGAAGGAGGCGCTGTTCACCATGCGCCCGAGGCTGCTGCTCTCTGCTGCTGTCTCTGGAGTCCCTTATATTGTCCAAACATCGTACGATGTGCGCCTGCTAGGAAGGTGAGCAGATGTCGTCTCAGTGGGGCAAGACATGGAGGGAAGGAGGCATCTTGAGTTCAGAACCCAAGAGCTACCCAGGCCCTGTCTCTGAGCTCACTATGTGCCTGTCCTGCTGTTAATGCAAGTTTGGGGGTGAGCTGAAGAGCACAGGTAGGACAAGTGTGAGCTCCTCTATACCCTGGGGCTTTCTTTTTTTTTTTTTTAGATTTTTGCTATAGGGCATGTGAGTTCACCAGAAAGACAGAGAGACAGAAAGCGAGAAATCGCCCCTCAGGGGGGACGGCCATGCCGCAATCCCTTCTCCATTCGCCTCCCAGGATCTTGGGCACACATGCACATGCGCCCGGCTTGAGTTTAAGCCACTGGGTCTGGGACTCGAACTGTGGTCTACTACATGGGAGTCCAGCGACATAGCCATTACACTAACTGCTGGCCCCCCTGGGGCCTTCTTTAGAAGTTCAGAAAGAGGTGATGTAGTACCAGTCCACAGCAGATTCTAACCAGTTAGCTAGTTAATGCTCATAACTCATTGCTGGGTTTCCTAGGGAGAGAATCCAATGGCCTGGCCTCTTCCTAACCAGAGTGCAGTTCTAGACATATATTATGCAGCCGATTCTGACCTCAGAGGGACAGATGAGTTAATAACCTCTGTACAAAAAGCTGAACAAAGAATAGTATATGAGTCTTTCTGGACATGCTGGTTCTAGCCTAATTTTCTCAAAGCTCAAGAATCAGGTATTTACAGATGAGGAAACCGAGGCAGGTATATACCAAGAAAACAGGGTGTTTCTGTGTGTGATTCTACGAGGGACAGTGGTTTTACAGTGGGGGGGAAGGAGAGACCCAGTGGGGCATAGAGTTTTTTAATATTAGCCTCATGGTCAGTCAGGATTGAGAGTCCTGCCTTCACTTACCTGGGTGATCTTAGGCAAGTTAGTTTTGGTTTCTTCAGTTTTTCTTTTTTTTTTTTTTTAATATTTATTTTTATCTTTATTTTTTTAAGAATTATTTTATTTAAATTTATTTATTTGTAATTTGACCAAAGAGGGACAGAGTGGGAAAGTGAGAAAGCAAGCTGCCAGGTCTGAGACTCGAACTATGTCGGCCATGTGGGAGTCCAGCTCCCCTAAGCACCATGCCACCTGCCAGCCCCTGGTTTCTTCAGCTTTAAAATGGGTACAGTTAAGATATTTAGGGCATCAGACAGATTAAAATGAAGTTGTATCATCAATGTAAATCCTTACAGTTGGAACCTGAAGCCTGGCCATAGAGAAAGCTTTCGGGACAAAGTGGGTTCCAGGGCTTGGCAAATGGTAGAAAGACAGATGCTCCTTTATTGCTATGGGCTGGGACTGCTTTTACCCACAGCAGTCTAGCATGGTAGCAGGCCTGAATGCATTTTCTCTTGTCTGCCTCCTGCCTGCATATCAGATCCTGCAGCCCAAATGCCTTACCAGCAATTGTTCCCATAGCAACATCTCAACTACATGGCACAGCCTGGGCAGGGGTCTGGTCAATAATCCTGCAAAGGACAATCTTTTTTTTTTTTTTTTTTTTGAAAGGATTTTGCTATAGGGCGAGTACACTTGCCAGAAAGACAGACAGAGACAGAGAGACAGAAAGGGAGAAATCACTCCCCAGAGGGGATGGCCATGCTGCAATCCCTTCTCCTCCATTCTCCTCTAGGGGTACACACGCACACGCTCCCAGTGTGAGTTTAAGCCACCGGGTCCAGGACTCGAACCATGATCTACTATGTGAGAGTCCAGTGAATTAGCCATTATGCCAACTGCTGGTCCCTGGGAAAAAAACTTTAAGAGTTCTTTAAAAGACGTTTATTTACATTTCCTTTTAAAATTTTTTTCATTTCATTTCTTTCTTCCCTAAGAAAGAGACAGAGAAAGAGAGGCAGTACCTTCAACGGTCTTGAAGCTGTGATCTCCCCTGCCCTGCCCAACTTTCTCAGCTCCAGATCTTGGGTACATACATGTGGGGAGACTGAGTGACCACTGCACAGCTAGTTAGCTAGTTAGTGCTGAGATGATCAGACTTGAAAATCTGGCTGGCCTCATCTTCATATCGCTTTCTCTTGACCTTTACAGACTCCTGGATTTCATCAATGTCTTGACTTATGACTTACATGGAAGCTGGGAAAAGTTCACAGGACATAACAGCCCCCTGTTTTCTGTACCTGAAGACCCCAAATCTTCGGTAAGAAAAGATCTCAGGTGAGCCAGACATCTGTCCCTGAGCCATCGACTCTTAGTAGTAAGATGGTGTCTGTGTTCTTCCTAACTGCAGGCTTATGCTATGAATTACTGGAGGAAGCTTGGAGCACCCTCAGAGAAGCTCATCATGGGGTTCCCCACCTACGGACGTACCTTTCGCCTTCTCAAATCCTTTGAACATGGGTTGCAGGCCAGAGCGATAGGACCGGCATCTCCAGGGAAGTACACCAAGCAAGCTGGCTTCTTGGCTTATTACGAGGTGATGGGAGTAACTGTCTAACTGCTAGGGTTCTCCTCTGCCCCCATCTGGGGCAAAGTCCAGGACAAGGGAGCAAAGAGGAAGTTTACTAGGGCAAGGGAAATCCACTGTCTATAGTATTTTCCTTTTCTTTGGGAGAAGTTATCAAGCTCTTTGTAAGGACTAAGGGACTTGGTATAACCTGAATAGAAGGATTTCAAGGCATCTCTTAAAAGGATCTTAAATGTTATACAGGTAAATCCTGACTTGTTAAATAGACTAAATAAAAATCATTAATATTTGCAATATTTATATAATTTCAGACATATGCAGAAGTATATGAATATCATAAACTCCACCCCCCCTCCCCACCACATACCACTTACCCAGCTCCAGTCATCAGCAATTCATGGCCAATCTTGTTTCATCTCTGCTCTCAATGCTCACTCTCCCCACTACTAGGTTATTTTGAAGCAATTCAAAGACATTTTATGTTATAGATTATTTCTTTCTATCCACCTCCATCCCCTTAATCTTCTCAACAAAGCTCAAATTGAGTGGAGGAAAGAGCTGTACCCAAGTGAATGTAAGACAGAAAAAGAGACAACAAGAAGCACAGGAGTGTGTGCTTGTAGGGATCTGGAAAGGTCTTATAGAGCAAGTAGATTTTTTCTTTTCCCTTCATTATAGAGTGAGAGAGACAGAGGTTGGTATTTTTGACAGGGCTTCTCTGTGTCACAGTTCCCTGACCCCAACTTCCAATTAGCTAGGTACAGGTGCACAAAACCACATCTGGTATGTTCAGGTTGACCTGGGAACTGAACCATTTATGCCTGTCATGTAGCCTCTAGTCTCCCAAGTGCTGGTGCTATCTATGCATCACCGTAGCTGGGCCAGAGAAGGTGGAGTTGAGCAGAGTTTGAAGCACAGAAAAATTCAGAAAAGATCATATGGGAGGGACATCCCAGGTAGAAGGTAGCAGGTTCAAAGGCACAGGTGTGTAGGGGGTACCAGATGGGGAACTGCAGCCTTACTTTGGCAACAGTTGAGGCATAGGAGTAGCCGAGGCAAAGGAGTGTATGGCTGCAGGCATCTGGAAAAGTCTTATTGAGCAAGTAGTTTCCCCCCTCCCCCTTCATGATAAGCGGGAGAAACATATTTTTAATAGAGTCTCTCTGTGTCACAGTTCTCCTGTCCTCACCTCCCAATCAGCTATACAAAACCTGTGCAGAGCAGAGACTCTCCCCAGTCTCTGATCTGTGCTCCATGGGCAGAGATGTTTTCCTGCTAATCCAATGAAGCATGATTATGGCGTAGTTGAAATACTGGGTTGTCAGAAAGGTCATGACATATTTTTTTCTATATTTTTATATGCAAAAATGCATTATGACTTTTCTGACAACCCAATAATATTCTTAAAGGTCAAAGAAACTTTGATAGACAGAACCTTTAAAGCAACCAAATAAAAAAGAAATGACTGCAACATCAACTTCTTCACACAACTTGACCACCTCTGCTTCCGTGCAGGATATAGTTTATAGCACCGTGCGGAGTACCAGTAGGCTCATGCTTGATTAGTTACAATAAAGACCTTTAAGACCTTTCATTCTACTGGAGGTTTAAGTAGCAGTGTGATAGCTATCTATTGGGGTCAGTTTGTGCTGACTTCTAATGAACAGAGGAGAAATTTGTTTACAAAAAAGACACTGAAGAAGATACAAATTTGGTCAAAAGTCAGGTATTACACTCTTGGCACCTTGGTGCTGGTATTCTTTTTTTTGGAGAGGTTTTTGCTACAGGGCATGTGAGCTCTTTAGGAAGACAGAGAGAGACAGAGAGACAGAAAACAAGAAATTACCCCCCAGTGGGGATGGCCACACCGCAATCTTTTCTCCTCCATTCTCCTCTTGGAACCTTAGGCATGCACGCACATGCACCCAGTGTGAGTTTAAGCCACGGAGTCCAGGACTCGCACCACAGTCTACTACATGGGAATCCAGCAACATAGCCATTATGCCAACTGCTGGTCCTGGTGCTGGTATTATTTGCCAAGCCCTGGGTTGACTTTTTAAAAAAGAATTATTTATTTAATTTTATTAATTGTTACTATTACTACTGTTATTATTTTAAATTTGCTAGAGGACTTGTGTGCTCTGCAGAGAGAGAGAAAGAGAGAGAGAGAGAAGAGAGAGAGAGAGAGAGAGAGAGAGAGAGAGAGAGAGAGAAAGTGAGAAAGCAAACTGCCAGGCACAGTACTCAAACCGTGGTCAATCATGTGAGAGTCCAGTGCCTTAACCCCCATGCCACCCGCTGGCCCCACTGACTTGACTTTTGAAGAATGTCCCATTCCTGGGAACCAGCAGTTAGCGTAATGGCTATGTCGCTGGATTCCCACGTAGTCGACCGTGGTTCGCGTCCCGGACCCGGTGGCTTAAAACTCACGCCAGGCACGTGTGCGTACGTGCCCAAGATCCCGAGAGGAGAATGGAGGAGAAGGGATTGCGGCATGACCATCCCCCCTGGGGGGTGATTTCTCGCTTTCTATCTCTATGTCTCTCTCTGTCTGTCTGGCGAGCGCACACGCCCTATAGCGAAAAAACCTCTCCCCCCAAAAAAAATAAATAAAAAAAATAAAGAATGTCCCATTCCTTGGTTTCTCTCTTTTTCCAACATGGGCATTAGAGGAAGGAATTCATTCAGATTAGAGAGGAGATCCTTTGTGAGTGGCTTTCCTACAAGCTCCCTGATCAAACTTTTTCCACGCTCCCTGATCAACTTTCTTCTCATTCTCTAGTGAGGGATTCTCAGGAACAGCTGTGCTCCTGGTGCCTCCCTGCATGACACTAACACAACTAACCTGGTGGTCCTCCTGGCAGATTTGCTCCTTCATCTCGAACGCGAAGAAGCACTGGATTGGTTATCAGTATGTCCCATATGCCTACAAGGGCACGGAGTGGGTTGGCTATGATGATGCCACCAGCTTCCACTACAAGGTGAGACCCTGTTTTTTTCTTATATCAGCATACTGTTTCCCACTGGCTTCCACACAGCCCTATTCTGTACAACACGTGTGTGCACGTGTACATATGTGCATGTGTGTGTGTGTGTGTGTATTGGGCAAAAGGTGAAGGGCGAGGATGAGTAGAACAGCTGAGTTTCAGGCATACCTAAGTTTTAGTTCTGACTGGGCGTCCATAAACCCATCTAGTTCAGTCTTCCATTCTGAATTTTTTTTAAATTCTGAGGGAATAAATATTTCTCTCAGTTTGCACAGTATTTTGGTGACAGTCCCTTCTTTTCTCTTTTCATTTGTTAGAGGGCGTGTGTGCTCATTGCAGAGAAAGAGAGAGAGAGAGGGAAAGA